CTTTATCTCTGCCTGTCTGCAATTCAATTCCGATTAATTTGTCTTACGTTATCCGGCGCACTTATATACAGGAATAGAGGGCGCCTAGCACATACTGGATTATTCGTGGTGTTCCCCGATCCTTCTAGAATATCATGACGTGTTACCAGATCACGTGACTACCGCTGTCGTAACAGCTGTTTTATTTTTCGACGATAATTTGTTTTCAATTCTTTTACTAGTACCTTTCTTTGACAGCAACGATAAACAGAATAGCTTTGGCTATCTCTGTTCTTTCTATACTTCCAATCGAACATGAAACGAAGAGCTAAGGTTGTTTTTTTGAAATTAGAATGTTGTGAACTATCTTTCTGAGGTTTTAACGCTGGTGGTAGGATATGAAGCAATTCCGAAACATTCGTAATTAAATATTGTTTTATTACTGTGTTTTTAATATTCATAGTAACCGCAATATTAGAGCTGATTGTTGAAGCCATTATTGGAAAGATATTCGTCACAAAACACGTCAACTGTGATGTCATAGCTGATGCAACTTATGAAAAATAGTTCTAATGTAACATTACTGTATACAAATTTTAGGCTTCAATGAAAATACCATAAAACCTACGACGGACTTTGGATTAATTAGAGTTATTACTCAACGATTTACATTTAAAGGATGGTAAACAGTACTGTCACTGAGGTAAACATATCTGGATTATGTATTCATCCACTATCGAAAAAAGTTGGTTACGTGACTACGAACGCCATTATGTTAGCAACATGTACAAAACGAGGTAATTACTGTGAAAGGAAACTTGTTACAATGGTGAGAATAATGTGCAATGATAGTTTTGGATATGTTTTCATATTTTATGTGCTCGAGTTTTTGTTTTTGGGGAGATATTTGTTGAAAATTAAGTCTTGGTGTCAAAATTTCTATCAGCACGATATTTGCAGTCAGTTTTTTTCGAATTTCTTAACTTCCAGTCGCCATTATTTTGTGAAGCCTAACTACCATAAGTTGAAATACGATCACATTGGAGACCTATTTCGATTAAGAATTTGGCCTGTGGTAAAAAGAACGAAGGAATTTAACTCATCCTTATGGAACTTGTATACAAGTGTAAAAAACGTAAAACCTTTCAAGAAAAATATTTTTCAAGTTAAAACTTATAAAGCTCTGAATATTTTGTTGTAAAAGTTTGGCCTAATGCTTATCAATATCATTGCTTAACTACTGTGACTGACTAAACAGCTGGCAAAGTAGCATTGGTAATAATACAACACATTTCTGAAAGTTATGAGTAATAGTACTAAAAACTACAGTAACTTTGTTTGTTTGTGAACTGTGAAGCCACTTAATTTGAACTTTAAGTTTGTTGGTTTTAATTGGTCAGTTTGGAGTGGAGTTAATCACATGCTAGTTTTCAGTTAGACAGCTATTGCTAAGTCTATAAAATTTGTGTGATAAAATTTAGCTTATGCTACTGCAGAGTCATTAAGATGCATTGGTTTGTGGAAGACGGAAATCGTAATCATCAGGGTGCTATGAGGTATTTGAAAAATTTTGGATTACCAACAGAAGTAGTTAAATTATACCAGTCATTTTGGACAGGAGAAAAACACAAAAAGTTTGCTGATATTGATGTAGAAGTTCCATTGAAACTTGATAAAATGAGTGTTATGACAACTGAACAAGAAGCTGGAAGCCCAGAAGTATCACTTGTACAAAAGCCAAAATTGAACTTTAACTCAAAGTGTGGTTTCAGGACTAACACAACTTTCTGTGGTGAAAATATATTAAAAAATCATACATATAATATAATGAAACCTCATCTAGTGTCTTTTAAACCATTTTTGATTGGAGGATTTGTTGGGAGTAAAATTCAAAGCTCTCGTGAAGAATACAAGGTTCCCTTTGAAAGTTTGTTGGAACAATTCTTATCAATGATGGTTATAATGGATGCAAACAGAAGCTTTCAGAAAACCAGTTTTGCAAATAACACTCAGGAAATTAAAAGTCCTGGTTATATAGGAACAATATCTTCAAAAGAAAGACTTTTAGCTTCTCATGGAATTACTCCTCTTAGTATTAGCAACCCTAGTGAATTGAGAACTCTTGATTTTTCCTATGTAAATGGTATTAGTAACAAAAAGAATATTCAGACAAGAACAATGAATGGAAGAACTCTGGATGAAAGCTCCACAAAAGTTTCACAAATGGTCAAGAGACCAACATATGCTGCTGTAACAAAAAGTGAGAAACAACTAAAACCAACCTACGCCTCTGTCACTAAAATTAATGTTCCAAGTGTTGTTAAAAATAGATTTCTTTCTTCTACAAGTTATCAAAGTCATCCAGTTGATAGCTGCTGTAAAGAAAGTAGTGATATAATGGACCATTCTGGAAAAATGAGTAGGAAAAGAGAGATGTGTGAAACAAATGTGCCCTGGAAGGAAACAAAAAAACTTGAAAATTTCAAAGGAAAAAGATTGCTTGATTTTGAAAAAATTAATTTCAAAAAAGAAGACACACAAAAAATTATTAAAACTAATGGTTTTCTCAGCAAAAGTAAAGACAGTAGTAATCACCTACTGGATGTAGAAAGTAATAATTATTTCACAGAACATGACACTACCAGTTTTAAGTCAGATGTTGAGAATGTTGAAAATTTTAGTAATTTGTCTCTAAGTGGTAGCAGTGCTGATACAAGAATTGTAAAAAATGAAAGTACACACAAGACTTGTGATGTAGAAAGTGAAAGTGATAAAAAATCCAAAACTATGTCTATTATAACAAAAATGGGAACTGTAAATGATATTAGTGACTGTTTTAAAACTGACAAGTCTTCTAGTCAAGATTGTACATTTTTGGACAAAGGTTTTGATAGTCAGATTCAGTGTAAACCAATTGATGAAGATTATAAAGTACCTACAGTAAAATATGTAAGTGCTAGCAATAGTAAAAGTAAATTTCCAGTGACGGTTTATGAAAATTCTACTCTTGCTTATATTCTTGGTGGGAATGAAGATGTGGATAGTGATACAGATAGTTTTTCAAGTGATTCTGATGGTAGTTGGTATGAAGACGATTCTCTTGAAGAAGATTTCTTTTGTCTATCAGAAATATCTTTGGGTCTAATGCAAAGTGAAGGGCTATACCTAAATAACTGTGCTGATTCAAGTGCTTCAGTATCCAGTAATAAGGAAGGGTTGATAGCACTTGCTCTGGATAATGCTTTGTGTATTAAACAAGAATTTAAGACACTAGAAGAACAGCATCTTGAAAACAGAGAAAAAGAAAGGCTCAGACAGGTCAATGAGCAGTGGAAAGAGGCAATGACAAAAGTGCCTGATAAACAAGTACATAAACTCAAGTCTAAAAAGGTGAGTGTAAAATAAAGTTTAGATCCACTATTAAGGAACAACAAGTTTATGTGGATACAAGTTTCGACACTTTCACATTTCTCTTCAGTCCAACCTGGATTGAAGGAGACACACTGTGTTAATAAAACTATGGAATTTACATGTTTAAATAACTATTTTAATGAGATTCAAACTTTGTCATACATTTTAAAGAATAGAAAATTGTGCATTGTAACACTTGCAATAGCAAAATGACTGGTACAAGACCAATTTTACAGTTAACAACAAGGTCATTAATTATCCTGTATTTCTAAAAATATTTTTAATGATGGTAAGAATCTGTGAATATTCCATCTGATCTGTGTACTAACAATTTTTCTAATGCCTTCTAAGTTATACTAGCACACAGCAATTTGCTAGTATTAATTTTGATCCCTATAAATAGCTGTAGATTTAAACCTGTATAACCTCAAATATTAGTTTAAGATAAATTTCCAGTCTTACAAATTCAAAGAACAGCAAGCTTTATTAAAAACTTAATCAGCAGTTCTGATTTCAAAATGTTTAAACATAATCAGTATGAGAAAAAATTTGTTTACACTACCTAAGAATTCACTGAATGCTGTTTTGAAACATGCACTACAGTTGTCCACTACAACCAAACTGTATAGGAGAGCCATTACATTTATACTAGTACTCACTGTCTAAAAAAACTGACTTGCATATTCTTTGAATTTCTGAACCCATTAATGAAAACTATGGAGTTTAATTTGCTTTCAATTTATACTCATTTGTATTTTTTTCTGGTACAACGTTATACTAAAGGCAGGCTAGTTGTACAAATGTGATTGTAATTGTGTCACATTTTCATTTCTAACATTTCTCATAACCATATTTCATTGTTATGAACTTCCTAATTTGGTGTATAAGATATGAATTGAGTTTGCAATAGTGCATATATATTAACATAGTATGTTTAGGTGTTATTGACTACTATCTTCTCATTATAGTATACATGAAATTGATGTGTATTTTAGAGTGTTATATAGTACCTTATTCAAATTCATGTTTCTTTTGAATGTAACCACACTTGTACATGTATCAACTGTAAATTGTGTCTGTCCATTCAGTTATATTTTTACAAATAGTGAGTTTTTTGTAATTGTATTCTGTCTCAGACACTTTGATATATTCCATAGAACTCTGCTTTTGGCAATAGTAGCCTTCTGGAAAACTCCACTATTTTATTAAATAAAAAAAGCATAAATTTGTCTGGCATGATCCTCCCCTCCCCCCATACTTTCTTACATGGTGCAGCTCCAAAGTCTGTTATTACTCCAGAATTTGTAGTTTGATTGTATTATAACAGTGACATCATTGTGATTGGTTTTCAGTGGTAACAGAAAAAGGGCATAAGAAAGTGAGATTTAGCCACAAGAGATCCCAGTTTTGCCCCTGAAGAAGAAAGGTCCACCTTTCAAAAGTGCTCGGGTTATAGGGTTTTTATCATTTTGTATGAAGACTTCTTGAACTTATGTATTTTTATGACATAAATGAAAGGAAGGAGTAGAGACATGAGATAAGAAGTCTAGCAATATGAGAGTTCAACATCTAGTTAAATTTAGTATTACTTTGGATATTTTTAGTTTTGCCTGCCAACAACTTTTAGGACTTTCAACTACAAAGTTCAGTCTAAAGTCTAAAAAATAGCAACCATGAAATGTACATTTTCTGTAGCAAGTTTGCATAATACTTCCCTGCTGTACAAATATCTTCAAATAGTTTAATATATCTGCTACAAACTCGTACACTTGCCTTACCAATTTCTATTATAACTGACTTTCATCTGCTGTGGATTTATATGAGTAAAGTGGTTTTGTTTTGCAGGTCCATTTTGCTCCAGAGAAAAGACTCACTCGTGTTCATGAACTAAAAGATGTGGCAGAGTCCAGAAAAGGTCCATGGGAAGAACTTGCAAGAGACAGATGCCGTTTTCAAAAAGTGATACAAGACTTTGAGAATATCATCTCACCTGTCCTACTGCCTTGTCATAGGGAAAAGATGTATGATAGGTTTTATAAAAATCTGGAAAATTGAGTTGTCTGTAATTCACTGGGGAATGAACATGCATGTAGAAAGTTAGAAGTGTATAATTTCTTTTCAGGCACATTGTGCTGCTATATTAAGTGCAAAGTTTAACTTTTAATCAGAACTGTATATTGCTTTAGAAGTAAGGCTTGGAAAGGTTAAGGAAATGTTTTTGTATTTAGTAGATGAATTCTTAATCATTTGTATGTACTAAACTGACAACAGTAAAAAAAATGGCAGCTCGGTTCAAAACATTATTATGTAGACTACATTAATAATGAGTAACACATGTGAAAAGTCCAATGTTAAGGTTTAATTGTTCTATATTTTATTTATTTTCAAAAAGATTTACATGGAGATATTGTTCAAAGTGTTCCTGTTTAAAAAAAATACTGTTATGAGTAACATAAAATGTGTTTCATAATAATTAAATTTCATTAAAATGTAAGCATTGTATTAAAACAAATGTACCTATAGTAAATGAAAAATTTATTGGTTTCTCTTTTAAGGGTTAACTTCACACTGTTAAGTTGGTGTACTCATCATGAAGTATGAAAATAATGCAATGTAGAGATCATTTTTAAACATATGACATTATTTCATTTATAATTTTCGATTATTTTCAGAAAATAGACCATAGTAAGGTTTGTACAAACTAAATTTGTTGATGTAAATAATATCTAATGGCATTCAGTAATCTCTGGATTACATACATTCATAATTTACAGAATTGAGAAATTATCTAGCTGAATAGTAAGTGAAATGTGCATTCTACCAATGATTGGATACATACCATGGACATTGTCTTGTGACAGTCTCGTGAAGTTGCTGCTGCTGGAGCAATGTGAAATACATAAAGTACCTAATATGACTAATAAAAGCTCATCAAGCTTTTTTTATATCAGAATTAGAAGTCTTATTCTTAATGACTTTTTATTTTCTGCACTTCCAGTGGGTTTTAAACATATTTTTAAAGTTGTAGAGATCAGTAAGCTTCAGAATGCTATCTCGCCCACATACGTATGTGCTTCTAGGTTGGGTTACATATCACTAGTTTAGATAGATAATAGGGAAAAATACCTAATTACAAAATATAAGTTATACTTCTCAAATTATATAAAGGTAACAATCCTAAAATCTGAAATTTTGAAGCATAAGGAAACACATACTATCATTTCAAACCAAAGTTAAAGCAATAAGATTGATAAATAGATTACAAAATTATTTTGCACTGTATATTATGTAATGTAAGTAACTGAAGAAAATTAAAAATGTAACAGTGGGTGATGTTATGCATTATTAAAACAAATTGCTTTAATAAAAATCTTCATGCTTATAGTATATGATGGTTTTCTTCAGCTGTTTTACATACTATAAACAAACACATGCACCAGATTTTCAACATATATTAGCTTTGACATTGAATAGATTCATCACTGGGATATACCCATTCTAGAAGTGAAAGGAAGTTTTCATGTTGCTTCTAAGCCACCTTTTATGCTTATTTAAGACTATTACCATTTGAGTATCAGTTAAAACTGGATAGAATTTATTAGTAACGTGAATATTTTATAGGAGAAGTATTTGTCGTGTCTTGTAATATCAACTCGAGTTTTGAAAATCAAGAGATTAAGCTTTTTCTAGAAATCTCATTCAAAGCACTTAACATCTTCAAGGAAAGGTGGAAGAGGTCCATTCAGGATTAACACCAACCTATTTTGCTTTTATGTAATGCTGTTTATACATTATGGGTTCTGTCAGTAGATACCATCGTCATTTTTTGGGCTATCAGTGTTAACTTTTGTTTGATAAGGAAATGTGATGTCTGTTGTTAAAATTTGTTACAGATGAAATGTTACCATTCACTGAAAGTATTCCAATTATAGGATTACTCCTTGTATCTTATGATGTATAATATTGCAAAAATAGCTGTTTTTGTAAATAAGTAAATGTCAGATAATTCTCAATTTGAATTATGATTATTTCTGATAAACTTAAAAAAATAAAAGTTGTAAAGAACTCATCTCTCTTTTTTTTTTTTACACTTTCATGCTGTTATTTATACTCTGGTAGTTATTTAATACAAAGATTTGCAAATATAAATTTTGGAATGAAAGTAACAGAATACCAGTCTGTGAAAATTAATATAGAAGTTTCCTAGATAAGAATATAGTGGATTTTATTAGACTGTTTTCTGGGATTTTGTTTTCCTTTCTCTCACTTTAAAGGGACCAAACATTTATTGATTGATATTTTACTGGATCAGTCTATTTGATTGAACTTGATATGAAAAAGATAAAATCAAATTTTTGCAACTGTGTAATAGAATATATGGAATAGTGTTAAATTACCATGAACTGGTAAGTGTAAAATAGGTGGTTTTATTACTTTGAGATTTTTTTCCCCCTGATTGCGTAGTAAGATATAACATTTTAGGATGTTAAACAGGAAGGGAAAAACAGCTCTTGTAAGTTCATTGTGGTAAGTGATCTTAATGTTTGCAATAAACATAATTACATCAAATTACAAATTATTATTTGGAGTACCTATAAATTGAGGCAGTTTGAGAGAGGGACTCATAATTAAAAGTTTCAATGAAATCTATATCCAGTGTGAAACAATTCAATATTGAACATAAAGATTGAAACATTGTTTATACACAGGTTTGGGTTAAATGCAGCTTTGAAATTAAAATCTCATTTTGAAATGTAGTGAACAGATGGTATTGAATATTTTTGTCTCAATTTTCCTGTTTCTTATATCGATGTTTGATTTTGTATTTTAAAATTGACATATTGTAAAGGGTAACTAAAAGTTTTGAATCTAAAACTGCTAATTTTTAAAACTGTATTTTGTCTAATGGATGTATGATAAATCTTGTATGAAAAATCTAGCAGGCTTGACATGAGATTTCACTACGTATAATTTGTATCACATACACTTGTTACAGAACTTTAAAAAAATTTGCTTGAATTTTCAAAATAATATGAACAAATACTTGTTTTTAATTTATCAAACTAACTGCTTTCACCAAGAAATATTGTTTGAGTTTTCCATGTTTTCAACATAGCATCTTGTAGTAATACCATTCATAACCAAAAATGTTTGGTCATTTTCTCGGTAAATGAGTATCCATGAATTGTTACATAAACATTTTGAATACATTTTTAGCTAATAAATACGAGAACGTTCCATAAGGAAAGAAAAGTGTTGAAGTTTAAAGTTAACTGTCCTGAATAGAAAGATTTAACTAAGAAACTTGCAACATCACACAGTTTTGGGATTCGTTACTACGTGTTATGAAACTGATACTTGCAATGAAAAGGGAAATGATGGATAGTTGGGAAATTAGAAGAACTAAATGGTATAAATGTTAAAATTGATTAAAGGGGAAATGGGAAGAAGCAAAAGAAAATATACACAAAATGGTAACTTAAGTTTCATTTTATTTTAAGCCAATCGTCATTAACGTACTGTTCCCAGGTGTTCATGTCCCAATATCTTTTAACTCCATACTTATGTTATGCAAAGTGTCCCTTGCCAAGAAGTGGACTATGTACAGAATGGTGAGTATAAACATTTTTGGATGTTTGGTTTGTTTTGAATTTCGCGCAAAGCTTCACGAGGGCTATCTGCGCTAGCCGTCCCTAATTTAGCAGTGAAAGACTAGAGGGAAGGCAGCTAGTTATCACCACCCACCGCCAACTCTTGGACTACTTTTTTACCAACGAATAGTGGGATTGGTCGTCACATTATAATGCTTCCATGGCTGAAAGGGCGACCAGGTTTGGTGTGAGGGGGATTTGAACCTGCGACCGTCAGACTGCGAGTAAAGCGCCCTAGGGACAGCTAGCGCAGATAGTCCTCGTGTCGCTTTGCGCGAAACTCAAAAACAAACATATAATCCAGTTTTATTTTTAACCGCTTTAAATAATCCATCAAAAGTTGGGGTGATTCCACAATAGCTTTGTTTCCAATGCAGAATCTAAACTGCCTATGTAGAGGGAATGGTGAATTGCTAACTGGATTGTTGGTCACATCACGTTTTTTTCAAGCTTGGTTCTTCTTTTAGCAAAGTTAGATTCTGAAGCGCTTTGCCACATATTTTACTTTCAACTTAAACTATACCGCTTATCTTGTATAACCAACATCGGCATAATTTTGACTCGTTTGTTCACGGGAAAGTGACATTGCATCTAAATTTAACTCAATGACTTATTACACTGCTTAGAAAAGAAAAACAAATCGATATTTTTATCATCAGCTTGTGCTTATCGCGTTCCTTTAGTTTTCACGCATATTTTATGAAACCTGCAGTATGAGCGAAAAAGACAAGTTTTTAAAGTACTAACTTATATCTTTTCACGATTATTCAAAAAAGTTTAGCGAGTTAATTTGAGATTTTACATGTTTTGCTTTCGCCGCCAAGAAGCATAGCCAAGGATATGTTTTATACACACGTTTATACTAATAATTTTTACCCCATGTCTCTGATGTTGATTGTAAGCTTTTTCTCATCGCAGTTAAAATATTTCGTTGGTGTGTCCAACAATCAAGTAACATAAAATTGGTTTGTTAAGAAACATTGCTTTATTTTATTAAGTATTCCAAATTCACCGATAGAAAGTTCAAGATTTTATTCATAGTAATAAAGTCTATGGAAAGAAACAAATCATTTATTCTAATTCCTTATTTGCAAAATTAATTCTTTAAGGAATATTATTAAGCAATAACAGCGACACTTATAAATTTTTTAACAAAATCCCTCCCTCCAGTAGCACAGAGGCATGTCTGCGGACTTACAGGTAGACAGAGCACAGATAGCACATTGTGTAGCCTCGTGCTTAAACTACGAATAAACAAACTTTATCAAAAAATATTGTGAGATGACGATAATATTGGTGTTGCAACTTGATATATCATACACGTGGATACGTAATAAAGAGTAAATCAAGAATTTGGCTAAAATACAAAATGAGTATGTCCTTATCTTCATTAGCAACTGACATTGTGTTTAGGACGATAGTTAGAACGCAAAATATTTTATTTAATTGAGTTACACTTACTTTAACATAATCCAAAACAATATATTGAGATATATATCCGAACAAATTAGTAAAATACAAATGTTGTTTAAGAATATGAAGATCTTCCCTTTATGATATTGATATAGTAAACATTTACATTCTTTTGAGACGCGATAAAGGATAAACGCCCCCTAGAAACGCGACTGTTCTAGATATTGGCAAAACCCAGTGTAGCTGATGTAATGAAAGTTCCCTGTCTATTACTCGCAGCGTTAGTTGACCAATCAGGATACCGTAAGTAACTTACGTCAGATAAAAAAATAGAGAAGTAGAAAACTTCCGCGTTTTTAAACTGAACATGTTTTACTGGCCTAATTAAAACAGTAGTCCCCAGGACTTGGAAACTGGTTTTCTAAACAAAAGTAGTATTTTAAAGTTTAGGTTATTTAAACAGGTTTCTAACTCGCATAGTGCAACATTATTGTGATGTTACATTGATATTGGGCGTTTAGATTTTATACTTGGTTTACAATGCTTAGGCACGTAGTAAAGTAGTTTTATTCTACGTTGACCTAACTGTTCGGGTCGATAAAAGAAGAAAAAGTGCTTGACTAAACTCTTCATAAAGAAAAGAAACCTCTTACAAGGACTCATAATGTCATAGAAGTTAAAGTAATATTGTCCATTAAAGGAAATACATTTAAACTGCGATTCGATTTTATCAAGAGATCTCTAGAGCTGTAAAATGACCTTTTCTTTGGCACAAATTTCTAAATACAAGAAATCAGATTTCTTTCTTCCGATCATCTGCTTTTTTATATATATATATATTCCTGTAAACTCCCAGTGGAGCATAGTGCCGCAACAACACCTCGCCAACGGAAGGTGTTGTTGCAGTTACTTGTAGCAAATTGGTTTTTACGCGGTGGAGTTGCTAGCCCCGCGACCAACCCTCCCCTTTCTCATCCTGGACTTGGGACCAGGCAAAGGCGGAGGTTGGCATGTTTGTGACGGGGATTCGAACCCGCAACCCTCAGATTACGAGTCGAGCGCCCTAACCACCTGGCCATCTGCTTACCCGTATAAAAATAAGCAATTCATTACAGTAATTACCAGGATTATTTGGTGAATGACTAATATAATTACTGTTGTTGCTACTGAATGTTAAAGTTAAAATAACTAAACATTTCACTTTTCTATAACTAAAAAAGAATGTTTTTTTACTTGTTATATTCAGATACTTTAATTTTTTTCTAATTTTCGAGCAGTTGATGTCATTGTAAGCCAGATGGGAAAGGTCATAAATTTGGGATCTTCTAACTTAGACAAAGGTTATATGCCATAACGATTGTCAATAAGGCTTGTTTGCTGGGCCTTGTGAATGAGAGTAACGTTAATATAAATAAAATATTAATAAATAAATAAACAGTGTAAAAATAAAATAAGGTAAATGATGTTCTGTTATTACTTCTTACCTAAAAAACCTGATTTGCAAACGACTTGAGATAAAATTTATCATAATTACAATTCACTTGTGTAATCTGATTCACACTGTTACAGTTGTTGCTCACGAAAAAAAAAATGTATAAGGCAGCCTCGTCGGTCTCGATAGGGCAGATGCTGTGTGGTTGACATATAACATTTTATCCTTTATTTTCACTCACGTGTTATTAAAATTACCCTATTGGAGTGAAGTCAATCTCATCTCAAGGAATGGTACATGGACTTATACAAGTCTCTCTCTTTTGTATGACGTGACGCGGTTTCGAATCCCCGTCACACCAAACATGTTCGCACTTTCAGCTATGAGTCCGTTATAACGTAACGGTCAATCCCACTATTCGTTGGCGGTTATGACTAGCTGCCTTCTCTCTAATCTTACACTTCTAAATTAGGGACGGCTAGCGCAGATAGCCCTCGTGAAGCTTTACGCGAAATTCATAATATAACTGTTTTGTATGTGTATAAAAATGGGAGTTATCACCGGCCTTTTATGATACCCCACTAGGGTTGTTGTCTGATTTAAAAGTATGGTATTAGTAAGATTCTCGTGCTTGTCTTTGTTCGTGCTTTCTCCTGTTCCAGCAGCCATAAGCCAACTAAATAAACAGAAGCCCACCAGTATGTTAAAACTCCAGGAAAACTTTATTTGTTGTATGAAGAAATGCTTTATTTGTAAACTTGTATTTACTGCTTATTGAAACGAGTGTATCTGAATATTGCACTACAGCAGGGGTCGCGAAACTACGGCCCGCGAGGTCAGTTCATTGGCCCACCAC